ACACACACCTGGTCTCTGGTGTGCTTGTAGCTGAATGTGCACAATTATTTTGAATTGGCACTTTTTTTGGCTAGCTCTGTTTTTGACACCCAGACACCTACCTTCCTCTCGAGGCTGTTTGTGCCAGAGGAGTGGCGAGCTTTCAGGAAGCCAGCGGTGGTGGACCAGCGGGTTGGGTTCTTCCTCGATGGCGGCTCTTCCATTTGGACCCGTGCGTCGCCGGCGCTAAACGGCCCGTTGATTGTCAGCAGGGCGGGGTCGCTGCTGCGCCGGACATGGAGGGGCATATCTGAAAGACAAGAAAGAGGGCAAAGCTGTAGCGGCAGTATTTTAACTTTTTATCCCCCCCTACCCCAGGCTATCACTGCTTTTTATGGAACTTGTTTCTATGAAAGAGCTTTATTGGCCATGTGTGTATAGAAGAAAAACACTGCTTTGCTGTAGTTGCTAAGACTGAAGAAAATGGATGACTGATGTAAATATACTGGAACAAATTTTGTTCCTCAAACACTGTGGGCTAATAAAGGCAATTCATCATTGAGATTCCATTATCATCCCATGGTGGAATAATCTGATTTATCACTAAAAGTCTCATCACGCAGCTCTAGTTTCTACTTTACTGTCAGCTTAGTGCCTTATAACACAGAGCAGAAGACAGTGTGTGGGAACAACAATATGAGGAAGAGCCTATTGAGAAACAGCAGTGTAAGAGGATGCTTTCCATTAAAACTCTTCACTCTGTTTAAAAGTTGTGGTGCGTGGGAAGTGGGCTGAGGTCCAAATAACAACTGCAACAAGGGCAACGCGCACAAAACACCACAGCTTGCGCTTGTACACAAGACACAATGTTATGACACTAAAAATCTCCCACTTTCAGACCTCTCCAAAATCCCACAGGCACATTTGATTGGCTGAAATGTACCCAGCGGACCACACAAGAGAGACGGAGATTCAACGAAAGACTGGAGCATCTTCTTCAGATGACAATGCCAAGTGTATGTTCCCATGTTCTCTTCCAGGACGTTCTGCTGCTCAAACACAGTCAGATGTTTTGGAAGGTGGTGCGCGTCCATACAGGAAATAACTGCAATCTGGCCGGCGACAGGAGTGTGTCTGAGTCAACAGTCGTGTGTATTGTGAGACTAAGTGCGTGACAAGATTCAGCATGTCCATCTGTGTGTGTTTGTGTCCCTGTTTATGTATCTGTACACTCTGATAAGTTTGTAGGTCAGTGTGTGTGTGTGTGTGTGTGTGTGTGTGTGAACTCTTCATACGTTTGTTTAGAAGTATGTGGATCTCTGCAAACTGAAGAGGCTCAGTGTGTGGACCGTTATCAGTGTGCGTGCGTGGGTTTGTGAACCATTATCAGCAACGTGTGAGAATGTGTGTTAGTGATGAGTCTGTATTTTGTGAGCACACATGCCAGTGGACATGTGTTTGTATTTGGAACTATCTGGAACAACAGCTCGAGTGTGTGTTGGGTCACCCAGAGCGTGGGACCTAAACAGCTCTGTGTGGTGGTAGGCAGCGGCACTCTGGGAGATGGAGTTCAGGAGGGGAAACTCTCTCTAAATTAAACTTAAGACCAATTCACTCGTCATGGTTAGTAGCCTCCTACTAACCGGTTAACGGTTGTACAAGATCTTCTGTGGCCCTAATGATGTCATAGTGATGTCACCATATCTCAGCTTGGATTTAGACAGCAAACCTTGGAGGTGTGGAGACGGCATGAGAAAGAGATGGGCACTCAATGTGTAATAAGATGGTGATTGCATTATGGGAAATGTAGGAGCCAGTGTCTTTCGAGCTTGACCCGCATGATGGACATAATGTCAGGATAACCTTGACCCTGTTGCTCTGATTTTGAATTGACTGCTACTCAGGAACAAATAATTTTTTGGTTGTTTCTCGGAGCTTTCACTTTCTACACAATTAGTCTCAGTTTCTCACCTGCATGCGGTCTATTTCAGCTGAATGCTGCATTGTTGGATAATTCCATTAAAAGCTCAAAATTATGCAAACTTACTATGCTTGCTGACATTCTGAATATACCTAATGTATGAAAGAGCAGGCACAATTCAATGTTGTTCTCCTTCACGGATTTACCCTGCATCTGTTAATATTGTGTTATTTCTAAAACACCAAAGGCAACAGTCTCTCATTAAATTAAAAAGTCAGTCAAGGAACCGAACAATGCCTTGTAACTTATCATTGTTCCGCTCTCTGTAAAGCACAATGTGAGGCACAGTGTTTGTGTGTTTTGCCTGTTTCTGGTTCCTCCAGGGCAGTGAAGATGGACTTAATAACTCAACAACAACATTTAACAACATTTAAAGCAGTAAAGTTTACTGACAACTTCCTCCCAAATAAAAACTTTTAGCCAACAAAAATGCATTGTGAAAAGCAAAATAACATGAACAGCACGATGCTGAAAGAAACTAAAGCTCTTCAAAAGGAGTATCAGAGACCGCATTACTATATTTTAGAGATAAACGATTCAATTATTTTATCCCAGAATAAATTTTTGCATTTTGGGGAATTAACTTTTCAAACTGGCATCTGAAAGCTTCACATGTTCACAACAGTGGCATTGTCCTTTCATCAGCATTTCCATGTCTGCAGAGGTTTTGAGTTTAACAAAGCCAAGAAACTAACATCAATCCATTCATGAATTTCAATAGAGCTCTCGGTCTAATAAGCTTAATCACTTCTCTTTTGAGTTTGTGGGCCGAACAAGAAAACTGGCAAAGACCCACAGAGTCCAGCGCCTCTCATCTCGTCCTACATAAATCAGTGATTGAAAGCTATTCTCATTAGGCGCTCACAGAAAAAAAATTAATCAAATTCCTTCTCTTCCATGACAGACATTTCTCTTAAAACCTGGTAAAATTCAGCTGATGAGATTCAGTGTCTTCAATTAAACAGGGTTAGAATTTATTATGGAGACGGTTAAATTGGACGGAACTGGCAGGTGTGATTATGCCCAAGATTTCCACTTTTTACCGCAAATTCACATTCAGCATCTCACCCAGAAATCCAATTAGGAGTGGAGTGACCTCTCTCGCACTCTGTGTGTGCGCTTGTGTGTGAGCGTGTGAGATAGGAGATTTGGGTGGCTGCTGTGTCAATCAATGCCAGCTCACAGGTCATTAGTGGATAAGTCACACTCCAACCGGTGGGGTATTTTTAGTGATAATAAAATATGCTAATTAAAAAGTAGTTTTTTTTTTTTTAAACTTTAATTTGTTCATTACAGTGTGTGAGTGGGGAATGTGTACATGTGTTTGGAGATTATTTCTTATTATTTAGTTCTGGGAAATACGTTTAAGAAGGAAAGGTGTTCTTTGTTAAAAGTGAAAAACAACACATTTATCAAGGGAAATGCAAGAAAACTTACTTAAATACAGTGCGAGCTGTGCATGACGCAGCAGGTTTGACAGTGAATCAGCTGATAAACAGCAGCATGGAGTGGAGACATTGTTTTTGACTTTATTTCAACTTTGCACAGTGTTGGCAAAGGCAGTACAGTACATTTTCCATTTAAAATCAAGTCTAATCAGTCAGTATTGTTTAAATGCATAAGCAGCATGAACAGCAGTGGAGCGGAAACCACGCCCAACCGCTTCATACCGTGCCAGTCGAGTTTTAAGAGCCACTCTAAAGTGATTTATCACAAACATGTTCCCAGAAGAATAGCCAATCAGATGCAGGAATTTAACCTATTTTTGCTCCATTGTTCATGGATGGTACATTTAAGTTTTATTCACTTAACGTTTAGTGACTTTTGCCAACTTCGGCTCACTCTCTGTGAGTGTTACCCGGAAGTTATAGCAACCAGAGGCAAGTAAGAAGCCTGAATAAAAGTTGGGATTTTTCTGGGTTTGAACACTGTTCGAAACATTCTATACTATAAATATGGGTCTTTTAGGTACATATTACACATTTACGAAACTGTCTAAGCTATCTTACACACAAGAATATTTTTAATTCAAAAGATAACTAAGTTTCACTTTTTGCCGTCAGAAACATACAGATCCAGAGGGACACAGGAAGACTGCGTTAGCACAAGAGAGAAATATTTGGAAGTAAGGAACAGTGAGAGTATGTATTTGTCTCTTTGTGTATCTGTGAGTCTGGGCCTGTTTGCTTCTGCTTGTGTGCAAAAGGTTCTGCCGGATCCAAATTGACAAATCACCTACAAGAGTCGGTTTCCCATCCAAACTCATGGTAATTACAGTAGAAGAAGCGACTTGGCCGGCAAAACTGCAGAGGTGGACGGGCTCAGCGTCACATTTGATTTAGGAGGCAGCGAATAGAACCAATTAGCCGCTTTGGCCGGGGATCAAACGGCTATCTGTGCCTGAAAAAAAAGGCCCTCCTGTCCAATTAACAGAATTTATGGACAGGGCTAAGGTACCGCTGGGCTGTGATAAGGTAATTTGTTGGGTTTGCTGTATACTACAGCAGTTGCTGACATTTGACGCTAATGAGGACGACAGATTTGTAATTTAAGAGGAATATAAGAGTAATTGACTTAGTTATTAATCACGTGTTAAGTAAATTTAATCCCTGATTGTAGCTTTAGATAATGGTCCCTCCATCCAAATAATGAATACATCTATGGACCACCCGATGGTCTTCAATCCAGCTATATATATATATCCTTGATTTTTTTTCCCCTTTAGCTCCAGTGTTGGGACTTACTGGTGCGCAGGGCAGAGGGCGTGACCTCGATCTCACTGGCGTTCTGGTAGGGTTGGAAGGCCGAGGCTCCGCTTCCAGCACTGAGGTCCGCAGCGAACAGGTCGGGGCTCTGGGTCCCTGTGGAGCTGGCACTGGTACCATCGCCTCCATGATGGGGCTCCTGTTCGTCATACACAGCTATTAACTAGAGAAGGGAGGTAAAAGAGAGGAGAGGTCAGAAGGTGTGGATTTAAGAAACACGCTGCTTGATATTGCATAAAATGTCTATCTTGAAAAGTCAACAGGCTCAACCACTGCACAGTTTCAGAAAGCGAGGGGGAGGTGCAAGAAGTACAAAAAATACTGAAAAGTAGATTACATATATGAAATAGGTTTTCTTTGTATTTGAAAAAATCTTCATACCCAAACATACAATAGGATCATCTGAAATTCTGAGAAGTTACAAAGGAAAAAAAAGGGACAAAGACATGGAGATGTGAATGTGCAGTAAGAAGCAAAAAGGGAAGTGCTGTAGGTTAGATGTGAGACAAATCCTACAATGAATGACATAATAGAGCATAAATACCCCCAAATAATGGAGGGATTTATAAAGGAAAGGGAAGGACGGGTGGGAGAGCAAAGAGACGGGAGTGAAGAAGAAAAGGATCAGCGGGTATATTCGATTTGTGGAGCAGTATTGCCTTTGTATTAGAAATAGCTGCTTAAACCTCCAAAAAGTTAAGCAGCATGTGCAGAAGCGATAACTCCGTGTTAGCTGCTCACTCCGAAGGACAAACTCTACAGTGAGCTGAAGAAGAAAGGACTTGCCATTTTCTTTCAGTTTGAACACATGGTGGTCCTTTTCTGCTCAAATGCACATACAGTGTAAACGTATATGGAGGTCATTTAGGCTCTCCATTTTATGTTATGACACTGAGGCGCTCATTACGTCCAATCATATCCTCTCTTCACTCAAAATGCCTCCACATCTGCCTTCAAAGCTCTTCTCCCTCACAGATCTGATTAATTCCAGCCTCTACTGAGCCCCTTTATTAGATTAAAGATGAGATTCACGCCATCCCTCTGTGACTCCCACCAGGCGCACATGTGTGTTCAGCTGGCTTCAGTTAGCCGATGAGAAAATGAAAAATCCATCCAACATTTGCCAATTCAATAGGATGTGATCTAACTGTCCCTTGTGGTGAGATCTGATGCGTAGAGGCATGAATGTGATAAAGTCCCTACTCGAAAAGTCAACCCCGTGACCCACAATATCTCACACACGTTAAAAAAAAAAAACCCCAAAAAAACAACAACAGGGATGTTAAACAGATAAAACATCTTCAAGATATCAGCACAGTTCATCTGGGTTTATTTACAAGATCCAGACCAAAGAAGAACCCTGAACTTTAAAGTAAACTTGACCAAACACCATGTGGCAAGAGGTAGCTGATCAAAAGCAGACTTTCACTTCAGGAAAATACCAAAAAAGATATACCTGAAAAACTGAAATTGAAAAGATGGTTGCTATTGAAAATCTCAAAAATAGGAATTTCCAAGTCAAGGTTCATGAGTTTCATTTTGCTTTGGAGAGAGATTTTTATCAATGGAGTAAAGGTATTGGAAAACCAGTTCTGAATTGAAACCACAACCAAGGTCCGAACCACGTTGGAGCCAGGGGGAGCTTGGCACTATTTTTGCCATGCATTTGAGAAGCTCTCACCTTTAGGAGCCGATGTGGTTGTCCAGAAGCATCTTAGCATTAAATTGCCAGATTTATAAGTGGAGTTTGGTCTGTAGAGGTGCAGAGATTTAAAAGAATAAGACTGATGTAGCTGACGACTCAGAGAGGCTCTCAATGTTAGGTTGCAGATGTCTTGCATTTCGGTCTTTCTGTATCTTCATCATCACTGGGTCATCCATAAAGTTAGGCTGTTATTGATGTATGATTCATGCACGAGGGTGATACCGGCATGCATCCATTCTGCATGCTATACAATTGAAGCATTATGGCACAATATAAAAAAAAACTTGGTCCCACTCACACACACTGTGCCAAATTGCCATTATCCATATCTCTGTTTTGTTATCAGCAAACTGTGTGTCAATCAGTCAAGCCCTTGGTGTAGTTTGCACACTGACCACGTCAATAAGAAGGAATACAAAAATAGTAGATAATAGAAATGAATGTTGCTTCTGCTTATCTATTCCTGAAAGCAAGGTTTGGGCGTACAGCAGTTCAGTCAACATTTTGGGTTATATGTGTGTTATCTACAAGGATAGGGCCAGAGGCTAATACTGACAAGCAGGCCTACACTACACTACAAACAGCAGTGACAAAGCAAAGTCTAACAACAGCAAGTAAATGAATTCATGCAGGGAGGGAGTCATTAGTTAACAAAACAGAGTGGAAGTTGTAGTGTGAGGAGTTTTTGTCAAATCTACAAAAATGACCCTGATGATGTAATTAGAGTAATCTTGGTTTAGGTTAAGCAACTTAGCCTACACTACAAAGTTGAGACAGTCTAATGAACAGATACTATTTGTTGCATTATGCGAATCATATCCAGTGTTTTTGGAGATTACCCTTTAGTTAGATATCTCAGTCCCTGCTGCTTTGTGTCTCGTGAGTCCTATATGGAGGTGCAATACAAAATCTCTGGAAACAAGACCATTGCAGAACCAAGAAGATTTGTATTTTTCTTTATTCCTTATTTGGTTTCTTTTCTTTCTCATATTGAACCAGACCCAGGAGGATCTGTTTTACCTTTAATTATTTTAATTTGTACATACATGACTGTTAATTATATGTCGATTTTAGTGTACTAAGAAATGCAAATATTGTATTAGCAGCTACAATAAGCGTTATAACTGCTGACAAAGTTGTGAAGAAGCCACAGTGGGAAACTCTCACATCTTTGTTACCTTTGACGGAACAAATTCAGACAATCTGGAAGCTGAAGTTCTTGTGCCTATATTGCTGCAATGGTCTCACTCATTGGAGGATGAATGAACTTAATGCTTAGATCATAGCTATCACCTACTGACACATAAATATAGATTAGCAGAATCAGAATCAATAAAACCTACCTTATACCCAATTCTGCTTTGAAGGGCCTACTTTTAACATGCTGCATATAGTGTTACATGTAAAAGAGGGGAAATACTTCTCAGTGGTGGTCATTTACACACCTCCTTACATAAACTACTGGAATAATTCTTATAAAAAACGTAAATAGGAAGCACAAACAGAAAAGATTTTGATTTTGAGCCCTTCAAGGCAACACTGTGAATCTCACTTAATGAAAGAAGCCAAACTCGTAAGGCATCAATCTGAATAAAACACACGACTTCAACATGTTCACACTAAAGGACAGACTCACACCATATTGAAAGAGAAACATTTGCACACACAATTACATTTAGAGACACAGAGACACCCACACAATCCATTAAAACACACACACTCGCACCATTCATATCCAACTACCAGTTTTTCAGCACATTAAACCTTCATTTCAGCCACATTTAGCCTAAGAGCTGTGGAGTTTTATAGCACGCTGGACATGCTCCCTGGTGAGAGGAACAGGGCACACACACACACACACACACATCTACATACATTTACAGACCTCAAGACTCATGTCTCCCATTAGGCCCTTTACATAAATGTGGACACATTTACTTCAAATTAGAGCTAGCGTCAGCCGGGGGCTAATGTGTACACACAGTAATGGGGGTAATAAAGGTCAAAGGGCAGAAAGAGGGGTTGTGGAGGGAGGGGGTGTGAGTGTGTGAGTGTGTGT